TAGGATAGTCTTCGAGGGAACGATATCTTACTCATCTTATACTGCATAATCGATTAGGTTCACTTGCCTAAAATTAGTGCGTATTTGGTGCATCATGCTCCTAGGCAGTGGAAAGCAGTCTTTGGAATGTCCTCTTCTGTTATGAAAATCTAGTTGTATTCACTGTGGCGATCCATAAATGATAGAATTCGATGGTGAGCTGCACCATCCACCAGCAAATCTGCAATGAGCACAGGATATTCATTTTTTGATGTTGCCACATTCAAATTTCTGAAGTCCACATAGATTCTTAGCTTGCCATTAATTTTCACCACTAGAACCGCATTAGATAACCACTCAACATATCTAGAAATTCTAATGAAACCAACATTTAGCAGCCGCTTGATCTCGTCTTTAACTTTTAAAGTGACTTCTGGAGACATTCGTCTAGGTGGTTATTGTTTGAAAGGTTTAAAGTCTTCTTTGATTATGTCACGCCCCAAAACCAGGAGTGAAACAAACGCCGTGTACTTGTGAATGGGCCCCATAAATGCACAATGCTCGGAACCTACTGTGTTCATAATTACCAAAAATTTACTAGTCAAGATGTACAAAAGTTTATAAGATAGTCACGGCTATAACCAAGGGAAACTCAGTATACAAAAAAAATGATTAATCATTTCACATCTATGACAAGCATGTGTGGCTAACGGCCTAAATCCAAAAAGGATCTAAGTCCAAAATATTGACCAGCCTTCTAGCTCGTCACTCTCCCTGGTTAACCGTGCCTCGAGTCTCACTTCCTGAAATGGTGGACAAGGAAAACTATGAGATAAGATATCTTAGTAAGTAAAAATATGAATAGCTCGTGAGTAAAATTTAAGCATGCCTGATAAACAATTTAGCGTAACAAAACATTCAACAATAAACCGTTAATGTAGAATAAGATTCAATAGTAGTGTCATTTATAGGTCATGGCCAGTGTTTAACAAACTCCCACTGGCAGACGTCAGTAATCATGACTATATTAGAGGTAAAACCATGCATGATTTACAGGAAAATCCGTAATTCATAATTAATCTCAAATTTCAAGAATAAACCAGAAAAATTCCATGTGGGCATGCTCAACCCCAAAAAATAATAAAAATTTTCATTTTCATTCTAATCAGGCTCAGGTGCTAATAAAGTCAATTTAAACCTTGCCACCATCTCAAAACAATTTAAAATATGCTTTTACTTTGTAATCGAAGGGCGTTACCATAATTTACTTACCTCAATCGCATAACACAAAAAATTCACTCTAAGTGCTAAGGTGACAGAATAATCAAGAACATAACCAAAATATTCCAAAATTAATAACCATATGACCAGACATCTCAATTTTATTCTCAATATAAACTAAACATTTAAACTTTCTTATTGTTGCTGGTCATTAATCGTATAAGGAAATCTTATTTATTTATTTATCCTTATTTTTCTTTTATCCGAAATTTGAGCACAAAAATCAGATTGTGCATTTATATATATGTACATAAACACACATATACAAAATTCTCCGAATTCACAAACCACATTGAGGAACTGGCTTTGGCAAAATAATAGCTAATTCACGGGATTTTTCTCTAGAACCTCACAGCAGCCAATTAATACCCAATCACATAAATTCTACATGAATTAAGCTTAAATTTGTTCTAATTGCTACCAGAATTCATCCCCTATTTCAGCAAAAATTCGGACAGCATAAGGGCGGCAATTAATGGATAATTTCAGCAACCAATGGGTAATTTTGGACTTAGAAGGAGCTGTCACATACCAAAAAATTCAGCAAGCAAAGATCGAAGCTGGCAGGTTGGGGAAGCCAACAGAAATTAAGGGAGAATTTAGGGGATCTACCGGAAATTGGGAGAAACCAAAAGAAATTAGAGTAAACACAAGCCAAATCATGGGAGAAAAGAGGGATTAGTGGCTGTTTCCTTACCAAAAACCTGAAAAATTCACACCCACACAGCCAAAAGCAGTGGACGGAGGGGGAAGGAACAAGCAGATTTAAAATTTTTCTGCAGGGGGAAGATTTCTAAGTTCTAAATCAAGCTTTTACCGTTCTCAAGAGGGTGGGTGTTGTCGGCGGCTTGGGGCCTCTTGTTTCACTGCAGGGGAGAAGAAGAAGAGCAGAAACGCGTAGCTGAGGAAGAAAGAAAGAAGAAAAAAAATCAATTGATCCTTATCCTAATTCTTTTCTCTTTTAAGTCCCTCAAATTTGAAAATTTTATGATTAAGCTCAATAATATTATTTTCTCACAATTAGGTCCCTAGCTCACACTCAATTGTTCTAGGAATTTTTGGGGTATTATAGATTAGCAATCTGTGCTCTGCCAGATTTCTGTTCAGACCTAGCATTTTAGAATAATCCCAAGCAAAACAAACCTTGTATTCACGCAAAATATTAATAGTTTTATCATGCAAACACAGCTCAAGAAAACTGCTAATAAAAGTAAAATTTTAATTTGCCTCAATACCATGTACCTCCTCCAAGGGATCTTGTACTTCTACCTTCAAATCATCGAGTTTTGCTGGTGCCAAATCTAATTCCTCCAGAGTTATATGATCTTTTGAGTCCTCCTTTTTTCCTTTATAAACTACCTCAAATCTATCTACACAGATCCGCTTTTCTACAAGGTAAGCTGCTAATTTCCTTTTAATTTCTTCCATGGCCTCCTTTTTCTAGTGCTTAATGTGATCCTTCTTCATGGAATTTCTTTAATTTCAAGCTCTTTCCTCGACCCAAAAAGAACAATTACTGTAGGTCAAAGAAGTTCATCACAGACCTCTTTCAAAATTTGTCTGTCCAATGTAGATCTGGTGTATGTAGTAATTCCAGAAGGTCTGTCATAGCAATCCATCCCAAAGAAATGAATAGTCCCAATATCTTCATCATAATAATGAGCTTCCACTGCATTGGTATTTGCCACAAATGGCTTAACATCTGCTATCACGACCTCAATTTTGCCATTGTTCCAAAATATCAATTTTTGGTGCAAAGTTGAAGGAACGCACTAGCTGGAATGTATCTAATCTCTCCCAAGTAATGCATTATAAGTGGCAATGATGTCAACCACAAAGAATGCATACATGAGAGTTCTATTTCCAACAGTGAGTTCTACTGGCAAAACTCACCTTAAGCGATTTACCCCACCAGTAAAGTCACTGATTTTCACTTTTATCTCCATTAAAGCACCCAAAGATTTGCCAATTTTGTGCAGCACATAGGTTGGCAAAACATTGACAGTTGCTCCATTATCAACCAAAACTCGATTTATTGGCATACCATCCAAATCTGCATGAATGTATAATGGCCTAATATGTCTGTCCATTCTTTCTTTTGACTCTTCAAAAATGATTTCATTTGTTGAATACACACCTCCATCTTCCTTAGTTGGGATCTCAATGATTCCTCCTTCCTTGGTCTGATCTATCTGCTCACAGATTGTAGATTCTGACTATTCTCTAGCTTGAGATACCAAAGGAAGAGTGATCACCAAACAAGATAGATTTACAGAAAACTCACAAAAATGAACTACATTTGATGAACTTTCCGCTTTATCTGACACATCAAACTTCGCCTTTAAACCAATTGCTTCATTTGATTCCATTGTTAGAACTTGAGGCGATGTTGGACTTCTGGGTGGTTGATTCTTTTTTGGATAAGTTTGACTAGATGTGCTTCCTTTTCTTTACGAACCCACACTGATTTCCTTTTTGCTGGAAGCGGTTGAGTCTGATCTGCCATGCCCCCCAAGTTTGCAATATGCTGTCAGTGTCTCTCTGCTGCCTTTTTGCATTGTAAGTGCCTCTTCAAGGTCCTTAGACTTTGAACCTTAGGAAATTTTGGATGAACCACACATTCCCACCATTTGTTTGGAGATATGGGTGGTGGTTTCATCATTCTAGGCTTTTTTGCGTGTCCAGATATCACAGTTCCCTGATCTGTATTATTTTTCTGTTGAATTGGGCCATGCCCCCCATGTCTTCTCCTTCGGGATGAGTCTGATCTAATCTGATTTTTACGGACCCTTGCCTCCTCAATGACCCACCTCAGATCATCAGTTGCAAATCTGTGCCTAGAGTATTGCTGATTTCTGTCTTTAGTAATGCTCTTGAGATCTGCTACGTTCACCCCAACAGACATGCTAAGGAATGGATCTGCATCAACTCCCATATTTTCTTTGGCCTTATCTGGAAAACACAGAATTCCCTTGTCGACTTTGTCTTGCAAAACATTCCAAAAAATAACAGAATCATTAGTAGAGGGTTTCCAAGAATTGTGATACTTGCAATATTCTTTACTTCCAATTTTGCCAACCGTTGGGATTTTATGCCCCGGCAGCAACTTAATTAGGCCACTCTTTTTAAGCTTGTCAAAAATTTCATTAGTCTTTGAAATATCAAAAGTATATCACTTTCCAGCCTTGTCGACATAACTCTTTACTGTTTTGTTAGTCTGTTGGGCCACTTTAATCAAATCTGGGCAAACAACGGACTTGTTTGCCACCACTTCTGCCATTTCCAGGTCACAGTTAGCACCACCATAGTAAGTCCTATGAGATGCAAATTTCCTTTGTGTGTCATCTCGTAATAAATTTTCGTAACGAGTCACCTTGTAAGACAACTCAAAGAAATCACGAAACTACATTCCCTCAAACTTTTTCCTCAACTTGATGTTCAGACCATTTTGTGCCAGCTTAACAAACTCCTGTTCTGGCAAGGCAACTCTGCACTTAAGTCTGGCCTTCCAAAATCTGGCAAGAAAGGCCTCAGATGTTTCTCCAAGTCACTGCACCAAATGAGATAAGTCTGCCATGGACACTACTGGCTCATTATGGTAAAACTGGATATGGAACAGATCTTCCATTTGCCTCCAAGTATAAACTGAATTATGTGGCAGACTTAAATACCAAGTGAGAGCTGTACTAGTTAAAGAGCTGGGAAAAAGTCTAAACTTTAGATTATCATCACCAAAGGCCTCGCCACACTGAATCATGAAGCGGCCTATGTGTTCAGTTGTATAATCATCTCCAGAAAATAAAGCGAATTCTGGAACCTTGAATCCCCTTGGAAAAAGATTCTCTTGGTCTATAAAATCTAGATATGGTTTTTTGTAAGTTGGTCTGACTAGAGGCCTTAAAACTGAACCATAAGCCTCTTATGTTGTACCTATGGTTTTGATGATTACAAAACACATTTGAGTGACTAATTGATTTATTTAAGTGTGTAGTTAAATTGCCAATATACTGCAAAGTAAGCAAAATGAGATTGCATTAAAAAGGGCTCAAAGGGTAAAAATATGCAGAGAACAGGTTTAAGAAAATTGCAGCCGGCTTTGGGAAGCAAAAATGCAAAGAACCGGCTGCAGATTTTGTTGAGCTGGTTCTACAGGCCAGAAATTCAACTGCTGTTTTAGCACACGCGGAAAATGGAAGCAGAGCCGGCTCCCACTTTGTAGTCGGCTGTGAGGGTGCATTTAATGCACAACGGTCGAGTTATTTGAAGATTATTTAATATTTTTAAAGTTAGAATTCTAAAGCCGGCTCTAGGCTTTGCAGTCGACTGTGGAAGAAAACGGAATGTGCAGGAATTCCGCAAAGCCGGTTGCAGAAATGGTGAGTCGACTGTACAGAGCCGGCTCTTTTGACAATCCTACAACTCAAGCTTTGCGTCCTGCAGGGCGTTTAATGACCCCCCAACGGCTAGAAACTGCTATATTCGAGCAAGGGATTATAAATATGGTTGGTAACATATCTGAAGAAGTTAGGAGAGCATTATATTGAATATCTTTACCTACCAACTTGTGCTTTAACTAGAGATTTTGATCTTTGAGAGATCTTTGTTTGTAATCCTCTTCTTGTGATATTAGTGAGTGATCTTGGGGGTGTGTTGATTCCTTCAAGAGTGATCTGTAGAGAGGATCTTTGGGGTTTAAGTGTAAAGGGGTGAGATTTGAGAAAAACACCCTTCTTCTTATAAAAGGATTGAATGGCTCCTTTAAGCCACCCTTGTTGTTGTTAGTGGAGAGTGTGGAGGAAATCCTTGGTGAGTGAAGCCAAGGTAGAGGACTAGGTTCCAAGTGGTTGGACCGAACCTCTATAAAATCATTGAGCAAGCGTTTCTTCTCTACTCTCTTTATTTTTGGTTTTGTGGTTGCAAAAAGGGGAGAATTTTTGGAACTCCAATTCACCCCCCTCTTGGAGTACATTGAGTCAACATCTTACACCAGATCAAGGATTTAATCATGATTGATGTACTGCCTTGGCAAACCTTGAAGATTTTGTTGCATTGGTGGCACATAAGGTTGGAGCTCCCTTAGTGAAGGTGCATTATACTGTGGGTGTCCTCCATTTGGTTGGCGGTGAAGTGGCAGATATCTGGGCTGTTGGGGATTGCCTAGCTCTGCTGCATGTGGTACAACCTCAACAAGTTCTGGCTGCACTGGTCCACCTTTTGCTTGCTGATTTTGGGGAGGTGGCTATGGCAGATTAATTTGCCCCCCAAGTGCTGGAGCTGGAATATTTTGATTTTGCCTTTGAAGAACTGTTGCTTGTGTTTGAGGTTCAATTCTAGCACGTCGAAATGCTTCTTGCATTTGTTCTGTTTCAGCTTGAAAAGCTCTCAAATTTTCTGCATTTTACTCGCGCTAGATTCTTGCACTTTCTTCATTAGAGTGTTGTATATCAGTTACACTTAGAGCTACACTTTGGGCCAAATTCTAAGCCAGATTCTAAAAAGTCTCATCTAACTATCTAGCGATCTCTTGGCTTCTTTGTTGAGCTCTTTCCTCATATTCCAATTATGTTCGCCTTATTATGCTAATATGTTCTAACACAACTTTCATAAAGGAGTCACCAAATTGAGCAACATCATCTTCAGATTCACTATCCTTGTTGAAGGTTGGATTGACAAAAGTGTGCTCCCCAAGTATTGGTGATGCTAGTGGTGTAATGACTCACTCATTCTCTCCTTCTAAGTGTGTTGGACTGTCTTCACCAAGCCCAATCTGTAAAGTTTAGGCAGCCTTCCCAATGTTTCTTTTTGGTGGCATAATTATGCCTTTTCTTGGAAAAATGACCAATGGATCTAAAAACTATAAGTAAGACACGATGATGTCCCACCGGGCGTGCCAAAGAGGATTGTTTCTCCAAAAATCCTCTAGTGGTCTAGCACGTGTGAAATCTAGATGCGGGCGTGCCACTTATTTTGCTGAAAGTAAGAAAGAAGGATTTTCCCAACGACCCTCTCCTTCCTCACGGTCGACCTCCTTTTGGATGGCGGGAAGAATGTTGGATTAAAATTGAAATCTACACCTACAGATGATATGTAAGAAGGAGGGATCCTTTGCTGCAGAATGGGTTACGAAATCTGCCTTGGACAACTCCAAGAACTTAAACACTACAATGAATTAAAGTTAACAAATAATAATTAAACTAAATAGCATGCAATTTAAAGTAAATTTATGAGAATAAAATGTACCCAAATTAAATTAAATATGTTCATTGTTAAATTAAATGCTATCTATTGACAAATTTGGAAATTAAACTGCTACAAAATTAGAGATTTTACCCTAATTAAAATTAGGTTAAACCCCTATTTTGGTCCCTGAACTATTGTACGGACCCCCGATTTGGTCCTTGAACTAAAGAAATCCCTAATTTGGTCCTTGAACTATTGTACGGACTCCCAAGTTAGTCCCTAAACTATTGTACGAATGCCCAATTTGGTCCCTACTGTTTACCAATTTAACCCTAACTTGGTCCTTCTGTTAAATAATAGCTCAGGGACCAAATTGGGGCGAAATTGTAAATAGTAAGGACAAAATTAGGGGTCCGTACAATAGTTCAAGGACCAACTTAGGCCAAATTATAAATAGTGGGGACCAAATCGGGGGTCCATACAATAGTTTAAGGACTAAATCAGGGATTTCTTTAGTTCAGGGACCAAATCGGGGGTCCGTACAATAGTTTAGGGACTAAAATGGGGATTTAACCTTAAAATTAAAACAAACATGAACAAGAATTAAAATAACATGCTTGAAGTTGAGAAGAAGCGTGAACACCATATAAGTAATCATTAAAGAAATGCTACTTATCATAAACATTAATTTAATTGCGGATGGCTTAATTCAAAAAATCATCTACTAACTTTCAATTTAATTTCATTTTAGTATAGAAAGTTTGTTTCATTTCTAAATGATCTAAAAACTTTGAAGAATATTTCAAATTAGTCTACTGTACAAAGATGATGTTAAGTTGCTGTTAGATTTAAGGAAAGAGCAATCCTTTGAGTTTTAAAAAAGTGACACTTAAATCCTAATAAAATATGATGAATCAAAAAATAGTTTATAGAGATAGATTGTAATTCAATCAGAGAAATTCAATAAGTTTAGAATAAGAAATTTCACAGGTAAGTATGTTTTATAGGACAGACTGTGTACAATCTGTCTTATAAAATTATTTAAATGTTCATGAAAAAATAATATAAAAATAGAATCAAGGGTATTTAAATAATTTTACAGGGTGGACTGAACGCAGTCTGCTCTGTAAAATAATTTTCTTAAAAACACATTTAGCAAAATAAGAATAAAAATTATTTTTACTGTGAATATAAATTTAAGGACTAAAAGATTAAAAGAAACATAGTTAAAGTACTAAATTTAAGAAGATTTTCGTTAATATTTTTGTTAACTTTAACTGCCTAGATGAAATTGAAATAAATGTGAAAGATAATAGATAGAATTAAAACAATTCAAAGATAATAGATGAAACTGAAATTAAACTGACAGTTAATTGATGATTTTTTGAATTTAGCCAATTGCAGATAGAAAAGGAACAGTACCTTGAAGAAATTCGAAAGATTGAAGTTCATTGCATGAAACGAAATTGTTGAAGCGAATACATGAATTAATTTGTCTACTGGAATGATTAAGACCACCTAGATCTACTGGAAATTATGTTGAAATCCGAAATCTGGAAGCAATTGCACAGAAAATGAAAGTCTGAAAATTTGCAAGTGTTTAAGTAAGGCTGGCTGTGTGTTCTCCCTTCCAAAATTTCCTTGTTGTTCTCCTTTTGCCGGTAGTAACTCCCCACTTTCTGCAATTACAAAATTGTGGGTGGTTTCTTGAGATAGTGGGACAGTTGAACAATTGACTTAGTCAGATCTCCTTCTAGATTTTCGCCATCTGTGCCCTTATCTGATAACTCCCTTATCTAATAACTCACTTTTTTTAATTACAATCTCCTCCTATATTTCAGCTAAAACAATCCCTTTTTGACTCAAAGAGATAATTACATGGTAAAATCTTATTTCTATCTCCCTTTTTTGCCAATGTGGCAGCTAATCTATCATGGAGCCCCAGAATAACAAATTTGATTTGACAAAATCTCCTCCATTCATTTAAAAATATTTGACATGTGGCATAATCTTAAATTTTTGCTATTTATGGTGTAAACACAAGGTGAGCTAGATGAAAAAGGAGCTTGGGTTTAAGTTTACATGTCTACTTGCAAGGTACTTAGGAGTACTCAATTTAAAATTTAAAATTATATTATATTTATTACAATTTAAATATATAATAAGTCATAAACTTAATAAGGCTAAAATGTCCAAATAAAGAGTGTAGTTGGTTTTTTTTTTTTTTTTTACTGAATTTAATATAATACTCCTGTTTAAGTTTCTATAATTACAATATTTCTAATTACCTAAAAAAGCTAAGGGTTGAATGATTGATTATTGAAATAATTTGGAATTACACGAAAAAAAAAAAAGAGAGCTCAAATTTAAGTTTATGGACTAGTTCATCTATGAATAAGCTCAAACTCTCACTCGAATACTCATGAGTTTGAGTACGAGTTCAACCATTTTGAACTCAACAAACATCTGAGCTCGATTGGTGCTTAAGATTTTAGACAAACTCAAGCACAAGGAACTAAATACTTGACAAGCCCTAATTGTGATGCTTTTTGTCACGCCCCAAAACCAGAAGCAAAATAGATGTCGTACACTTGTGAGAGGATCTCGCAAATGTACAAGGCTCGGAAGTTATTAAATTCATAACTAACAATCCAGGGAACAAATTTGCAAAAGTCTCAAAATAAAATTTAGCTTACAAAAGAATGATCTATATCTCAAAATCTATATCCATCTATATCCAAAATATAAATGGCTAGCCTTCTAGCTCATCCCTCCCCTTGGTTTCCCACGTCTCAAGTCTCACTATCTAAAATGGTGAACAAGAAAAAATGATGTGAGATAACTCAATAAGTAAAATAATGGATAGCCCTCACTAAAATTTAAAGCATGCCAAGTAAACATTTAAATTTTAAACAAGAAGAAAATCTTAGTTATCAATCATTAATGCAGACTAAAACTTAGTAGTGGTCCCCTCAGTTAGTCATGGCCAATGTACTCTCCTAACTGGTTGGATAATAGAAATATCAGTGTACTTTCCCACTAACTGGATAGCAGAAATACCAGTGTATTCTCCCACTGGTTGGATAACAGAAATACCAGTGTACTCTCCCACTGATTGGATGAACTGGCTCTACAGAAATACATGTCGATATGTGCCAGCATTTAACTCCCATTAGCAGAATAACAGAATTCATGATTATATTGGAGTCAAAACCATTCAGGAGTAATAATAAATTCAAAATTCACAAACCAATTTCAAATTTCCAAAACAAACAAGAAAACTCCATGTAGGCATGCTCAGCTCAATAAAAATAATGACTTTCATTTCAAATCAATCATGCTCAGGTGCTAATAAAAATTGGGTTAAGTCCCACCACCATCTCAAAAATAGTTTAAAATATGCTTTTAATACCTTTACCTTTAAATCCAAGGGCATTTGCTATAATTTTACTTAATTTGTAGGTAAACAAGAAGTAAGAATTTCAAGGACTTAGGTGGTTGAGGTGATTTAAAACATATATCACATCAAATGAATACTTATAATATGCTTAAAATAGCTCCAAAAGACACACAAAACAGTAGGCATCTCAAACAGATTTTCTGGACAACATAAGATGGAACAATGGAAGAAACAAAGCTCAAAACCATCCTAGATACTAGCAGAGTAGAAATATTGGGCAACAAAGTGGGGATTTCTACCATTTAAAGCAATCCCAAAATGTTAAGAATAAGCCCTGAACAGTAGGGATTTCTGGGCAAAAGACAATAGCAGAAACAGGGTAAAACACAAGCTAGAACTAGACAAAAATGGACAGCATTTAAGTAGAAAAGCAATAGCAAAAAGGGCAGCCAAAATAAAGTAATAACAAAGGGTTTTAGAGCAGGAAAACAATAGCTAAAATTCTAGTAAAATCATGATGTAATATAGTAATAGGTGCAGTGGGAATAAAGCAGAAAATAGAGCAAAATTTTGGGTACTTTTAAGAGCAATTCTGGTCAGATTTCGAACTAGAATTTTCAACAGAATTTACACCCAAAAATTGACCAAGTTAGGTTGAGTGGTCAATAGATAAATTGTAACCCTATGTCTTAGCATCTTATAGGATCAAGAATCACCCTAATCCAACATTTACAGAGAAAGTTATGGCCAAAATACTAACATAAGGTCACGTTGCCAATTAAGTTGGTCAGAGGGAATTGAACTTGCAACAGAGTTTCACCATGAAAACAGCTTAACTAAGTTAAACATCCAACCAAAAAGTTATAGGGCTAACTCTTAACTTTCTGTAAAATCAAAAATGGACTTAATCTGATAACTACAAAAAGACTTATGGGCAAAACACTATTGCAAGGTCATGTTATAAAAATTTCTAGCAAAAGGAATCAGATCTAGCGGCACAAGGGCAAAACCAAGGAAAACTACAAAAAAAAATCCCAAAATTAAAAACCCTAAAGGATTTGAGTTAACCCAATTTAAATTAAGGGTGAAAAGATTAGCAAAATAACTAATTTCTTATCAGAAAGTGTTGAAAAATGGCAACCTTCCTTACATTGTGCAAGAACCTAACATGTACTAGAAAATTTGGGGAAGTAGCAGCAAGATCTGATTTTGAATCATGATTTTGAGAACCATAAACTCATCAATCTCTAAATCTTGCTAGGAGAAGGAAGGAAAAGCTAAGTCTCACCTTGTTTCTAACGATAAGAAGTTGTTGGGTGCAAGCTAGGCTTGGGAAGGAAAAATTCTAGTGAGGACTGGGGGAAAACACGTAGAAATGGGCAAGGAGAAAAAGAGAAGAATCAGCTCAGCTCTTATTTATAACTAGATTTCACTTTTAACCCCCTTAGTTTGTAAATTCCAATCATTAGAACCAACAATAATAATTCCTTCTATATAAATCCCTAACTTAAATTTAAATTCACTTGTACTAATGTATTCACGTATACATATATACATCTAAAATTTCATAAAATTTAGGGATATTACACTTTCAAAACCCATAAAAATGATTACATTCTTTAGAATTTCCAACCCAGAAAAATCTTTCCTTCCAATTCTTGTACCCTAAGGAAAATGCTCTAAAAAAAAAAGAAAATGAATGAAAGAAAGAAAGAAAAAATGGTCCCCAAGCTCAGTAAAATTACTTTGCTCTCACAAACCCACACCATTTTGTAGGATTTCTTGGGTTAATGTTTTATTCCATAGATTTACACCCTACAAATAATGGGGAAGAGTTGCTTATGTATTTATTAAACCTTGTTCTGGTGCATATTGCTTTTTTTTTTTTTTTTTTTTATGTGGTGCATATTGTTATTTGGTATTGTAAAAATTTGAATTTTTTACTTCAACTTTAAATTAAAATATTTCAATTAGTGAATACTAGTTAATAACCTAAGCAACCTAGTATTAATTTCTTCTTTAAGTGGAGTAAAAGATGTTAAGTTTAAGTTGTAAGCATATAGGTAGGGTGGTAAAGGAAAGAGTCATATTTTATTTTACAACCCAAAATTAAAAATGAAAGAAGTGTTTTATAGGATATTATCAAAAAAAGTCATATTTTAATGGTTAAAACACTAATTTAGTCTCTTAACTTTTAAATTTATACCAAAATTGTCCCTTAACTTTCAAAAGTACTAAAATTATCCTTAACTTTAATTTTTGATACCAAAATAATCCTCAAACTTTGAAGATAATACCAATTTACTTCTTAAATTTTGAAAATAAGTCCCAACTAAATTTTTAAATTTTGATTACAAATATCAATCTGCTTTACATATCAATCTGATATGTAAATAGGAATATATCACGATGGTAATATGACCATTCAATTTTATCCATCATTAGTATTTTTAAAAAGAACTAATTTTGTGACAACTGATGGGTTACGTGAAAGACCTAAAAGACTTTGTTGGTTTTGGGGATAAGCCCAACTCCTACGCAGCTGGCCCAACAGGCCCACAAACATGTCCAGCAACCCATGCACCCACGTGGGTGATGACACGTGGATTAGCTGGGTATTTACATGTGGATCATGATACCATCAGCAAGGGGCTATAAATACCCCCACCTACCACCATGCAAGGTAATTACTCCACAACACTTCTCTCTCTGCAATTACTCTCGAGAGCTTATCTCTCTAGAATATCAAGTATTGCTAACTTAAGCATTAGAGTGTTTTCCCCAATGATACATCCTTGGGTTTTTCAAGCGTTGAAGCAGTTGAAGATCTCTATAGTGTAGGTTCATATAGCTGTCCCAACATTTAGCGTTGTCTATGGGAAATTGAATAGAAAGTGGTGTTGCTTAACCAACTGAAATTGAATATGGTACGTACCTTTACCAAAAGTCAACCTCCCCCATCAGACAAAATGGACGATCAGAGTAATGCTCAGCTTCCAAAGTTCAACCCCAACGACTTTTGATCCATGCCCATAAATCTTTTTGCAAGAAGGGCAGCAGAAGAACAATTAAGTAGTTCAGATGACAAGCAAATGCCCACTAGGTATGTTACTCGGCTTGAGGAGCAATTCTAGGCTCGAGGAGACACGTGACGAAGGTATTTCTTCCGTAATGCACAACGGCCTAGCAAGCCTTTGAACTCAGCTCGAATGTCTGAGTTGGAAGAAAGAACCAGAGTTCTGGAAATGGCCATGGGAAGGATTATTTCCCGTTTAATTTCTGATGACCCTTTGATTCCCTTATTGAGTAAGGGGGACCGGCTTGCAGAAGTGGCTGCCCGTAACTCCCCTGCCTTAAGTTATGTAATCATACCTACTAAGCCAAGAGGAAATGGGAAGTTGAACCTCGAACCCAGCTCGTCCAAACTCAATGAAGAACTATTGAAGAAGAACAATGAGCTCAAAAAGCAACTTGAAGGCATACAAAAATTTATTGACGAGCTAAGAAGCCCCAGGTCACGCCAACAAGCCCCCGACCTAGATAGTGCCCTTTTTAGCCTACCCATCACTGTAGAACCTTATCAAGAGCGATTTAAGATCCCCCATTTAGAGACATATGATGACTCTGGTGATCCAAATGAACATTTGCACACTTACCAAGCCATTATAAAGATACAAAATGCTACAGATGCTATGATGTGTAAGGTATTCGCAGCCACTTGAAAGTCAACGGCCAGAAGGTGGTACCATAAACTTCCTCCATTAGCTCTTTTTCTCAACTTGCTACTTTGTTCTCTAACCAATTTGCGAGTCAATGAGAAATAAAACGCACAGCCACAGAGTTGATGCAAGTTCATCAGAAAGAAGGTGAGTCACTAAGGGATTACATGCAATGTTTTAACAAGGCCATCTTAGACGTTGATAATGTGTCTGACATGATCTGTTTATCTACCCTCCTACTTGGATTGAAACTTGGTCAGTTCTTAGATGACTTGTTGGAAAATCCACCGAGGTCATGGAATGAAGTGAACAATAGGTCGGCGAGCTTCATCTTGTCGGAAGACTTTCAATCATCCAAACGATGAGCTGACGATAAGCAGAATAGAGAACATAAGTAGCTAGAAGGGAGGAAAGAAAAGAAAAAAAATAGAAAGTCATTAAGCAGAGGGGAAAACTGCCTGGCTTATTGAAATATGCGAGTTACATTCCTTGGAGCTCATCGAGGTTTCAAGTCTTGGCACAGATTTAGCATTGGATCAAGAGACCACCTCCTCCTTTCCACGACTCACCACGAACAAACAAGAGCAAATATTGTGACTACCATTGTGGATATGGTCATAATACGGAGGACTGTTAAAGCCTAAAAGACAAGTTGGAACTTTTAGCTCGGAATGGAAAGTTGGAAGAATACATCTAGAGGTACCAGCCAAACTCGTTATGTACAAGATTATAACCGATCTCACGAGTAGAGGTACCAAGTTGGCAACAATCAGAGCATGTATCAAGGAAACCAGTCTTCTTTTGAACACAACAAGGCATATAGAAGATGTCAGCCCAACAAGAGAGGGCAGAGACAAAGAACTGATGCATATAACCAAAAAGACAACAAAGGGTTGGGTTATGCTGAGATACCTCCGCCCTCAGGCACCATAAATATGATTTTTGGCGGAATGCATTTAGGTGGTAAGAGTGCCTGTGGTCGCAAGGCTTATACTTGTCAAGTAATGACCATGAATAAGAATAGACCCCTAAAACAGCCGTTTGAGGAAGTTGAATGGGAAAATGCATTGATCATGTTGAGCCCTACAGATTACAAAAGATCGGAAGGAAAACCTGACATTGTTATGCCTTATGCTGATCCTTTTGTGGCTATTGTCCACATAGGTAACCACAACGTCAACAAGATCTTCATTGATATGGGCAGTTCTTTAGATATCATATATTGGAGATGCTTCCAAAAGATGCAATTGAACTCGGCTTCCCTCAAGAAATATGAAGGACCTATATACGGGTTTGATAATCAACTCGTCCCTGTTGAAGGAATAGTCACACTCCCCATCCATATGGGTACTGAGCCTCGGTTTAGGCTGGCATCAATGAGCTTCTTGGTGGTCAAATGGAATCGGCTTTCAATGCCATAATTGGGAGGGCCACGTTTTGCGAGTTAAAGGCTATCATTTCACAGCCACATCTATGCATGAAGTTCCTGACTCCCCATGGGATAAGAGTGCTTAAGGGAAATTAGAAGATGGTGAGAACTTGCTATCAAGACACATTCAAAAAGGTAGAGCTCGCTATAGCACCTAAAACCTAGTCCTTGCAGATTCCCCAACCAAGCCCCAGTCAGCAAACAATGAGCATCTCTGATATAGATCACCAACCCAAAAATGTAGAACAGAAGGTTGAGCCAACGGAATCTATGGAAACAGTCCCATTAGACCTTGAGGAACTAGAAAAAACCATGAGGATTGGAACTAAACTCACAACGGACGAAAGGAGAAAGAGCTTTTATAGTTTTTGAAAACTAATAAAGACGTTTTTGCTTGGACAATAGACGAAATGCTGAGAATCCCAATCAAATTTGCTGTTCATAAACTCAAGGTTAAATACCCTTTTTGGTCCCTCTACTATAGGAAAAAGCCCCTTTTTGGTCCATATACCGAAAAAATCCCTTTTTTGGTTCTTACTGTTCAGGAATCCAGCCCCTTTTTGGTCCTTTCGTTAATTTTTGCTTATGTGGCACGTTAACTTAACGGAAACAGCTGATGTGGATATAATGATACCCTCCACGTCACCCTCCACGTGTAGGAAAAAGAAAAAGAAAAGGTTAAATGCTAAATTTGATCCCTCAACTTTATAAGTTTGCATTTTTTTGATCCTTAGATTATTCTATTCACTTTTCTGATATTTGAACTCTAAAAATTACACAATTTTGATTCTTTCGTCAGTTAAACATGACGTGACAATTAAATAATTCCATTTGACATTTTCTTTTAATTTTTTTGATGACATGACAATTATATATATTATAATTATGTTATATAGATAAGTAAAAATATCACGTAGATAAACATTTATATTTTAATTAAAAAATAAAATGACATTATTACCCTCAACTCTCAACCTGTCTTCGTCCCCTTCTTTCTTTCTCTTTCTTTCCTACCCAGATCGGCTGGGTTCATCGAAACCCAACCTTGTTGGTTGCTCGAACCCAACCTTGCTACGTTCGTCAAAACTCAGTTACTGATTTTATTAAAGCCACTGAGTTCATCAAGCCAGTAGATCTCATCAAATCAAATTAACCCTTCATAAACAATATCATTCAAACTCTAATCCAATTCCAAGAAAAATGCAATCAAACTCTAATCCACAAGAAAAATGCAATCAAATTGTAAATCAACTTTCAAATTTATCAAGAACCGAAAATGAAAATAGAAAGAAAAATGAAAAAACATGAACTCAATGACGAAACCCAGCAAGGTGGGTTTGCGTGACCAACATGGCTAGGTTGGTCGAAACCCAGCCTTGCTAGTTTCGTCGAGCTTGGGTTGGTCAAACCTAGCCTTGCTGGTCGCGTGAACCCAGCAAGGCTAGGTTCGCGCGACCAACAGGGCTGGGTTCGCACGACCAGCAGGGCCGGATTCACGCAACCAAGACCAACAAGACTGGGTTCGTGCGACCAGGACCAGCAAGTGAGAACAACGAGGAGATTGGATTTCAGCAAGTGAGAAACATTGGATCGAATGAAATGATCGAGATGGACGGGATTGGATCGATCGGAGCAGAGTTCATGTTTGTGTTTTGCGAAAGAGTTACGAAAAAGGAAGGTAATCAGCGGCAGCGGAACCTAGTCGATTTGGGTAGGAAAGAAAGAAAGAGAAAGAAAGAAGGGGAAGAAGAGGGATTGGGAGGTGAGGGTCATACTGTCATTTTATTTTTTAATTAAAATATAAATGTTTATCAACGTGATATTTTTATTTATCTATATAACATAATTATAATATATATAATTGTCATGTTATCAAAAAAATTAAAAGAAAATGTCAAATGGAATTATTTAATTGCCACGTCATGTTTAACTGACAAAAGAATCAAAATTGTGTAATTTTTAGAGTTAAAAGATCAAAAAAGTGAAAAGAATAATCTAAGGATCAAAAAAACGCAAACTTATAAAGTTGAGGGATCAAATTAGCATTTAACCTTTTCTTGTTCTTTTTCCCGCATGTGGAGGGTGACGTGGAGGGTATCATTATATCCACATCAGCTGTTTCCGTTAAGTTAACATGCCACATGAGCAAAATTAACAGAAGGACCAAAAAAGGGCCGGATTTGTGAACAGTAAGGACCAAAAAAGGGATTTTTTTGGTACAGGGACCAAAAAGGGGCTTTTTCCTATAGTAGAGGGACCAAAAAGGGTATTTAACCTAAACTCAATACAGATCCTACGTAGAAGCTCGTGGTGCAAAAACGCCACCTTATTCGTCCTAAAAAGCAAGCTATCATAGATGAAGAAATACGAAAGCTATTACAAGCAGGATTTCATTAGACGGGTGGAGTATTCAGAATGGGTATCCAATTCGGTGCTAGTTAAGAAACCCAACAGGAAGTGGCGAAAGTGCATTGACTTCACCAACCTGAACGACGCATGTACCGAAGATCCCCACCCATTACCTAATGTTGAGAAACTAGTAGAACGAGCAGCCGACCATGAACACATGAGTTTTTTGGATGCTAGCTCAGGATATCATCAAGTTCAGTTATCGCTAGATGACCAAGAGAAAATGACATTTTATGATAGAGATGCAATTTATTTCTACATCATGATGCCGTTCGGGCTGAAGAGTGCGGGTGCTACATATCAAAAGTTAGTTCAGCTTGTTTTCAAACTTCAAATTGACAAGAACATTGAAGTGTATGTTGATGACATGATCGTCAAGAGTTTAAAAGCCAAAAATCACCTTGACAACCTAAACGAAACATTTCAAAATCTAAGGCGAGCACAGATGAAGCTGAACCCTTTGAAATGTACATTTACTGTTGAATTGGGTAAATTCTTAGGATATGTAATTTCCAAAAAGGAATCGAAATAAATCCAGACCAAGTTCATGCCGTTGAGCAAATGGAATCCCCCAAAAGTGTGAAAGATGTACAACGCCTGACAGGTCACCTTGCTGCCTTGCATAGGTTTATCTCCAGGTCAATGGAGAGATGCCTCCCATTTTTTAAAGTCTTAAGAGACCCCAAGCATTTCTAGTGGACCAAAGAATGCCAACAGGCTTTCGATGAACCAAAAAAGTATTTGGCATCACTGCCTTTCCTTTCCAAACCTGTTGATGGGGAGAAATTGTACATGTATTTGGGTGTGGTAGATGAAGCAATGAACTTAGTCTTATTACAAGAGCAAGAAAGACACCAAAGACCCATTTGCTACATAGTAAGGAATTGTAGGGTGTAGAACGGAATTATCCACTAGTAGAGAAGACTGCCTTCGCCATTGTTCACATTGCTCGGAAGTTGCGAACATACTTCTAGTCTCACCAAATTGTTGCTTTTACCTTCCTGCCACTGAGAAAAACATTATAGAAGCCTACGCTTTCTGGTCGATTGATTGGGTGGGCCATGGAGTTCAGTGAATATGATGTCAGATTTGAACCACACATCATTATAAAAGGCCAAGCCCTAGCAGATTTCATAGTTGAATGTATCCCAATAGTTGTAGAAGAAGCTGTAGTTTCACACCTCATATGGGCCTTGTATGTTGATGGAGCTACGAATGTTGAAGGTTCTAGAGCTGGAGTAGTACTGGTTGGTCCTAATGGCTTCAAGTCAGAACACGCGCTGAGATTCAAGTTTCGGACAAGTAACAATGCTACAGAATATGAGACCCTTATTTATGGTCTAAAACTATCAAATTATGGGTTCAAGACATAAGAGTCTTCAATGATTCTCAACTCATCGTGAATCAAGTCAACGAAAACTGTGATATTAAAGATCCTCAGTTGGCTCGATATGGTTCAATGGTTTCTTGGTTAAAAGCGAACTTCACTTTGTTCAAAATAGAAAAAATACCCCGATTGGATAATGGATGAGCTGACAAACTATCCAAATTGGCTTCATTATAGGATGTCAGCCTACACCGCACAACATGTGTTGAAATCCTCGATGCTCCAAGTTATGCCGACCCAATATCCGATTGTAGGATGTTAAGTACTAACCCATTGTCGCCAAGTTAGACCACACCATTGTTTAAGTATTTACAAAATGTGAACTATTTGAGGACCCAGCTGAGGCTAGATTGGTTAGATGTAGGGCAGCCCATTTTGCTTTAATTGATGGCCAATTACATAAGCGAGCAGTCTCTATGCTCTTATTACGTTGCCATTCTCCTAATGAATCTAAATACGCTATAAGGGAAATTCATGAAGGAATCTGTGGCACCCACATAGGTGGCAAAACATTAGCTCGAAAGTTTCTAAGGCATGAATACTATTGGCCTAATATGGTTGAGGACACATAAAACTATGTCAAACGATGTCCAACTTGCTAGTTCAACTCTAATGAAATACACATGCCAGGTAACCTAGCTCATTCTGGCACTAACAAATGAATCTATCTTACTTCCCCATCCATTTTTGGACTAAGAACACATACCTCCTCGATACAGGAGAAATGTTGTTTTCCCTCACATCACCTTGGCCTTTTGCTCAATAGGGAGTCGACCTGCTTGAACCATTCATTAAGAGCAAAGAAGGCTACACACATCTTATTGTCGTTGTGGATTACTTCACCAAATAGATAGAGGCCAAAGCATTATCCACTACAACAGAAAAGAAGGTAGAAGAATTTCTATTCAGCTTGGTGCTGTGCAGGTACAGTTGTAACATTAACCTCAAAATGTGTTAAGCACCTGAGTATTTGCCTATTTACTGAGCCACTTGTTGGTATTTAGGTTTGGTATCCCTCAACACTGTTGACTCAATGTACTCGAAGAGAGGGGTGAATTGGAGTTCCAAAAATTCTCCCCTTTTTGCAACCACAAAACCAAAATTAAAGAGAGTACAGAAGAAGAGTTTGCTCAATGATTTATAAAGGTTTGGTCCAACCACTTGGAGCCTAATCCTCTACCTTGGCTTCACTCACCAAGGATTTCCTCAACACTCTCCACTAACAACAACAAGGGTGGCTTAAAGGAGCCACTCAATCCTTTTACAAGAATAAGGGTGTTTCTCTCAAATCTCACCCTTTTACAAGATAAACCCAAACAATCCTCTCTACAAATCACTCTTGAAGGAATAGTCACACCCCCTAGATTACTCACAAATAGAACAACAAGAGGATTACAAATAAAGATCTTTCAAAGATCAAAATCTCAAGTTAAAGAACAAGTTGATAGGTAAAGATATTCAATACAATGCTCTCTAAACCTCCTTCAGATCTTCTACCAACCATATTTATAACCCCATGGTCGAAAATAGTCGTTACTAGCCATTGGAGGTCATTTAATGCTCTACAGGACGTAAAGCTCGGGTTGCAGGATTGTTAGGAAAGCCGGCTTAACTTCCTAGAGTCGGCTCTGTATAGCCGGCTCACCATTTCTGCAGCCGGCTCTGCGTGTTTCTTGCACATTCTGTTTTCTTCCACAACCAGCTGCAAAGCTTAGAGCCGACTTTAGGATTCCAACTTTAAACATATTAAATAATCTTCAAATAACTCGATCGTTGTGCATTAAATGCACCCTCACAGCCGACTACAAAGTGGGAGGAGGCTCTGCTTCCATTTTCCGCACGCGCCACAACAATAGTTGAATTTTTGGCCTATAGAGCTGGCTCAACAAAATCTGCAGCCGACTCTCTGCATTTTTTCTTCCCAGAGCCGGCTACAATTTTCTTAAGTTGGCTCTCTGCATATTTTTATCTTTTGAGCCCTTTTTAATGCAGTCTCATTTTGCTTACTTTGCAGTATATTGGCAATTTAACTACACACTTAAATAAATCAATTAGTCACTCAAATGTGTTTTGTAATCATCAAAATCATAGGTACAACAATCTCCCCCTTTTTGATGATGATAAAACACTTTGATCATGAAAGCATATATAGTTCAATATTAACCTCAAAATTTCAGCACCAAGAAAATGACATTAAGACATTAAGACAATCCATAAAATTAAGAGAATTTAGCATACTTTCTCCCCCTTTTTGTTATTCATCAAAAAGTATATAAACATAAGCAATAAACTCCCCCTTAATTCATGCTATCAACCTTTAAAGCATCAAGAATATGTAATGAATAGAATCATCAATCATTATCAATATAGCACCATAGACAACCAAAGTCATGAATACAATCATCAACAAATAAACTCCCCATCAATAAGAGCATATAATCTACAAAATCATAGACAATCAATACCAAAAGTTATGCCAATATCACGCATATCTCCTTGAGGAAATTGACTAAATTTTACACAATTGCAAGATAAAACAGCCATATTCTTAATAATTTCACACTTTGCAGAAGCTTGGGTATCCAAAAAGAGATTTGATTGGGAAATGTTACCTTCTTCTTGAGCTTGACCACCGGTGCTAGAACTACCCACTCGTTTCCTTTTACTTTCAGCCCTTCTTGAAGCCATGAGAGAGAAAACACAGCAGCCATACCAAAAATACAGTAGATCCCACACAAATTGGAGTGAAAAGCTTGAGGTTTTGTGTTGGGTAGGCAAGGATTTGATGGTATTTGAGTGTTTAAGGGATGGGCTTGTTTGTGCGAGGAGAGAGAAACCCGAGGCTTTAAAAAACTGCAAGAGAGTCGACTCTAGTCTTGGAGCCAGCTTAATTCTAGAGAGAGAAGACTCTCGGGTTTTTGGGTTGAGCCGGCTGTGAAAATGGTTAAGCTGGCTCTACTGGCCTTGATTGGAACAAGTAAAAGGTTTGGGGATGTTTGGAAGACAATGCATCTTAATTTGATATTTCTTCATTTAACTAAGTTTAAATTGGACATCAACTACTAAATTATGCACCTTTAGTCATATATCAATGTATGCATCGTCAAATAGCATGAATAATCAAGGTACACAAATTCTAATAATCAAATTCATTAATTTCAAGAATCATATCAAGCACTAGGAAAGACACATCAAATGGAATCATACTCAACAAGCATATGTATCAAAGAGTGAGCACACATAAACCAATAATTACTAGTCATGCTAATGTAATTATACTCAATAAATAAATGCAATAAAATAAATAATACCAGTTTGAGCACATGAGTGGAGCATTCAAAAACAAATTTTCTTTGCACTTCCACTCTAACATTCTTGTTGAGGCATAAGTCTTTTTAAGATCTACTTTGCTTTCCTTATGACTTTGCCATCAACTTTTCCTACAAAACAAAATTAAGTTTTGATTTTTGGCACCCAAATTTGCTTGGGTCCATGGGGGTTAGTGCTTAAAGTTCCTTTTGGAACCCAAATTTGCTTCACTTTACCTTGAGCTATCAATCTCTTCAAAGGACATACGTAAGCAAAGTGTCCATTTGCACCATAACAATAGCAAGTAACATTAGGATGATAGGATTGACTTGCTTTTACAAAAAAATTCTTGAAAGTCTTTTGCTTTTTAGAATAATCAAATCCAATGCCCCTTTTGTCATAAATACTTCTTTGAGATTTTAAGATAGAATCAAATTTTTCTTTACTTAAGGTAAATTTGGAAATCACATTCTCAAGATCACAAGTTTTTCTCTTTAAAACCTCATTTTCCTTCTTCAAATCTTCATTTCCTTTCTTTAAATCCTCATTTTCCTTTTTCAAAGCATTATTAGACACCTCATTCTTTAAAGAAGCAATCTCACCATTTAAAGATGCATTCTCTTTAACTAAAACTTCATTTTGTTTTGAGAGAGATTCAATCTCATTCCTAAGCAATGAAATGGTTTTAGTAAGAGCAATATTCTCATTTCTAGTTTCTTAATGTCATTCGTAGAGCAATCAAGAACTTTGCATAAATCATCATAAGAATACTCAAATGAACTTTCATTAATTGAACTAGAGAAGTTAGAGTTTACCTCCTCATCATTGTAGCTATCCTCTTGAGTCATGAAGAAAAGATTTGCAACACCATTTTCCAAGGAGCTTTCACTTTCCGTTGAGCTAGTGTCATCATTGCTCCAAGTGGTGGTAAAAGCTTTCTTCTTCATGCTCTTCTTGTTTTTCCTTTCACCCTTCTTCAATTTGGGACATTCATTTCTATAGTGCCCCATCTTGTTGCACTCATAGCATTTCACACTCCTTTTGGTAGACTCTTCGTCATCTCTTTTTGCAAGCTTGCTCTTGATGTTCTTCTTCATGAATCTCTTCACTTCCTTTGAAATCAGTTTGGTGATGTCCTCCTCATTGCTAGACTCATCATTACTAGCATCATCTTCACTTTCTTCCTTTTGGTTGCTAGCCTTGAAAGCAACATTCTTCTTCTTTTTCTCAGCTACTTCAACTCCACCATCAACTTGAACTTCTATCTCATATGTCATCAATTTTCCAATGAGATCTTCAAGCTTGAGGGTGTTACGATCCTTAGACTCTTCAATTGTGGTCTTCTTGGCTTCCCAATTCTTGGGCAAGCTTCTAAGAACCTTCCTCACTACTTCTTGAGAATGATAGACTTTACCAAGAGCCTTGAGATTGGTGACTATATCATTCAATCTTGTATACATA